TAATCTTTCCTCGTATGATAAGTCAATCATTCCGAGAACCATACGTGTTGCTTTCCTTTGAAGGCTTTCTAGAATGTGTAAGTCTCAATTCTAGTCTTGACCTCACCAGAGATGTATATAGGGAGGTGAACATATCTCTGGTGATTTTGGTAAAGACTTTGCGAATTGCCCATAGGGACCTGAAACTACGTGCAGCCACTGCGCGACAGTGTGCTGTAGTTTTTATATCGTGGCTGACTATGGCACCTAAGTCCAAGTGAGTCTGAGCTGATGGAAGTGTTATTCCCTCCAGTTTGTAGGAGCTGGTGCTTGCTTGTGCGATGCACATGCTTGCACATTTTGCCACATTGATCGGGGGCATCCGTTCTATGGACCACTCTCACAATTTGTTGAGGTCCTCTTGCAACGTGGACGTACCACTGTTGCCCTTCAGCTCTCTCCAAGATTTTAAGTCACCTGCGTATAGGGCCATATGGGTATCGGTGATCAGATATAACTCATTGATGTACAAAATAAATAAGAGAGGTCCGAGTACCATGGCTTTTCAAAGTTAGCGCGGTAGCGATGAGTTGATCATGCTTGGCTGCAAAAATGTTGAGTCGGATCCTAACATCTATAGAAAACATTTACGGTGTAATATATGCCTTGATTTAGATTCATCTTACCGAAAATGAGAAAGATAGGTCCGATTAAATGCTCATATAATCGAGTCATGAACCTAACTAAAAATCTGAACGATATAGATGATGAAACCGAATAAATCGGGAAAAACCAAATAGAAAATAACTTCTCATCAGAATCTGTCCGAAAATTCATTAATACTTATAGAAGAATTAAGAGCAGTTATCTAAATGATGAAAGTAATCTGGATAATAAAGAATTCAAATCTTCAATAATACCGTTGCATAAAGATGGAACATCCAAGGTCCTGTGTAACATTCTTAATAAAGCTGGAATTATAGTGAAATGTTAGCCTACTTATTGGCCTAACAGTCCGATGCACCAAATTTACTAAGTATTATACAGTCGCTATAAGCGTGGCCGTTGATGTAAGTAAACGAAGTGGGTCAGTTTCAGTAAGGCTATTGGGACATAGGTATTTAGCTAAACCCAGTATGATGACCATGACAAGTGAAATAATCTGGAAAGACTCTCAGCCATCGCAATGCATTCAAATGATTGTAACCACATAACAGGCACCAGCAGGTGATAAAATAAGGTGTATAGAGACGTTAACCACTAAATGAACACCAAGAGCGGGTAATTCAAATGATGCAACACCTATACTGAATAAACGGGTAATTGCGTTAAGATATCATATGCAACAGTAAGCTATCAATTCGTATAGATATACTTATATGAGCGTAGTGGTAGGTAGCTCCCCAGAATAATTGGCCACAACATTCATCACTGAACATTGGATGCTGACCCTCACTGTTTAAGTCAACTTGTTTAGCTGAAGGCTTCCGGTCAAGCATACACGCCGTTTGTTACGCCGTCATATAATGTTCGTTCTTTCGAGCACTATCCCTAGGTAATTAAGCAATCATCTCGCACTTCGATTTGGTCGGTCAATTCTGGTGTTTTGCTTTGTCTTTGATCTACGCGGAACGAATACCATAGAAGTTGTGGATATTAGATCTTACTTTAGCATGCTTCGTACTATCCGTGAAAGGCGATACCTTCAGTCTCTAAACTGGTGAGCCCTACCGCAGACTTCATCTTTAGTAAATGTGCGGTGATTTCGTTCCATTCTGTGTTTGTTCCTGTACTGCTCCAAAACTATATTCCCTACATGAGTGATCATACCCCTGAGGTCATCCATATTTAATAAACTGCCAAAACTATTCATGTCGTACTATTCTGGCAAGATAATGCTGAATCATGGTTTCGGATAGATGAGTCAGATTTTCGTGAAGATTGGTTAACTGATCAACGCTCACAGTTCCTGGCGGTTGTCCACGCCCTACCACGGGAATTCAGCAAATTCGTAACTGTGCAGATGTCGAGTCTCGAGATAAGTAACTCGTATGAGTTGCTTACAGCAACCCTCCTAAGAAGAAACGTTCTCACTGATCGACAGCAACTTGACGAATTATTTCGCAACGTGGCTAACAAGAATGAAAGAAGTTATTTGCTAAAATCAGTTCGATGAAGGATTTTTCGGAGAACTGTTCATATCCAAACTGCTACAGTCAGTACAGGGTGTGCTTGTGACGCTGAAAGGTGCTATTTTAGAGGACTTAGCTATTTCTGTAGGTAAAATTCTAGAAATAACAAGACGGCCAGTCACTGAAATGTGCTCAGTTGCCAAAGAGACTTCAAGTAGGGACACTGCAGTAATAGAGTTATGCAACTCTGACCAGCAGCTACTTAAGTCAAATATACCCTGGAATTCCTCCTGTCATCACCTCAATTCCCTTCAACGGCGAAACTCAGGTGGTCGATCTTAATCCAAACCGCTAGCGACGCAGCAGTTCCGGTCAACGATCTGGGACCTGATGGAGACCCGTCAGTGTTGGCGGTGAAATGGACGAATCTACTTTGACGTGCGCTTCCTACTTTGAATAAAGAATCAGGAGCGCAGTTACCGTCTTCCCAATTCATACAGAGTGTCCCAGAACACATTTCTCAGCGATTATAACTGGTTAACGCAACGCAGCCGATGGATATTAGTGAGCTGGCGAAAGTGAACAGACAGCTGCTGAGAACAACGGTAGCCGCTATAGACCAACCAAATCCAAACGAATATGGGCAGAAAATTGAAGCATTGCAGCGGGAAGTGGCGGTGTTAAAGTTGGCTGATAGAAAGGACCGATGTTTTGAATGCGCTAAGCCGGGACACTGGAGAAGATACTGCCTATAAAGGCGAAAAAGAAAAAGTTTCAGATGGAGTAATACTTGTTCCTTCTCACGTATGAACCTAGACTTAGTGGGGGCTATTGAGAAAGGGGCTGTGTATTCGAAATTGCGAGTGAATGATCGAGAAGTAGTATGTTTAATAGATACAGGGGCGGCTGTGTCGTTAATAGATAAGAATAGCCAAGGAGCTAGCTATACAAAAGCTCAAACCCACGCTTTGTATACAAAAGAAATACGTCCAACCCCTGTCCTTGCCATGGCCATCATAAACAAGTAATTTTTAGTAATCACCATCCCATCGCCTTTCTTATCTAAACTTCCTGTTTATTCATGTTATTTCACGTTTTTCTTAATCCCTGTTTACACTACCATATTTTCATACCCGAACTTAGTGTTTATTTTGTCATTTTACTATTTCTACATATCTAATCCCTGATTGCATAAACAATTATTCATCACATTAGTTTTTATCCAAACATCCTGTCTATTTTGTTATTTCTACATTTCTAACCCCTAATTGCACAGTGTCAGTCTTCTTAGTTATTTTAATGCTATTTTGTTTGTTTTATCCATCCCCCTGTTTATTATGGCATTCTAATTCCCAATTTTAATTTTTATTAATTTGACCCTTGACCGGATATTATTCTGGAACTTTCCCATCCATTTGATATAAGAACACGAATGTACAGCCTAGATGATGACTTCGTCGAAAAGAAAATTTTCTTCGCTGCAACTGTCTTCTTATTTACTCCTATGACCCAATGTGTATATTCCGTGAGATAAGAATTTATGTAAGAGTGTTAGTCCGTGTTCATTTACAGTACAAACAGTAGGCGGGCATGTGTTGCGTATCACGGGTAGATCGAACTGTACGGTTGTTGTTGGCGGCTGTGAGGTGACGTCTCCTTTCATTGTTGTACCTGAACTACAGCGAACGATATTAGGAGCGGATTTTCTGCGGGAGATTGGTGCAATAATTGACACGCAAGCGAAAGTTGTGGTCACGAAATAAAGGCATATCAACATGTATGAGACCAGCGAGATAGCAGCGGTTTAGCTGTCGACGGTACAGAATATGACAGAATTAATTAAAAAATACGACTTAAGCTGAAACATTTTAGTCAATTATATCACGTCATCTAACTTACTAACTAACTCAATCTTACTTTAATTGCTGTCTGATTAACCTTGTTTCTATATTAGATCACTTTTGTATTACCTGATCAATTATCTAAACTTGACTAACTTCATGGACACACACACACAAATGATTATATATAAACGCGATTGTACAGCTAGCTATGTGAATGAATTCGCAGTCGAAAAGGGTCTCTTCTCTGAACGTCTTCTCTTTTTCATATGGCTCTGTGGAGTCCTCAAAAATAAACTTATCCAAATTTTACTACTATGTAAATAATGAACATATTGTACACCACTTTGTTTTAACCATAAACTCTGTACCTTGACTTTACCTCGGGTTTTGAATAAATATATAGTTCTGCCTTCGACTCTCCATATTCTCCACCATCTCAACTGCCGTCGATCAATTTTAATCACCTGCTTTCTATCTCAAATTTTTGCAGGAGCACCGTAGTTCTTCCTACGTACTTTGGTCGACCTCCGGCAACGTCAACATTGGAGAATTAGTACTGGAGCAGTCTTCCCGCAGCACCTGGAGTCTATAACGTTTATTGTGGACTTTGGATCTTTGTAAACCCAAGTAACCAAACTTTAATACATTCTTCCCGTAACTAAACTGATTTGGTACTTTATTTTCTATTTGAATTTGGGTAACTGAGCTAACCGAGTGAAAGGTCCACCACAGCTCTATATATTTCGAGAAGTGCCTGAAGTTCGAATACATGGATTTGAGGTTCGAATTTGTCTGAGTTACTGGGTGATCCAGATGGTCGTATCAAAAACCTGATTGTTCATAGTTCGATCCTGGGTGGTGTTACTAGTATGCAGCGCTGTAGGTTTACAAACTAGGACGACGTAGCTGGATAGTATCCGGAAGTATTCAATGGTTCTCCAGCTGGAGTAGGTTGATTCTCGGATGAACAGAATTGCTGTTATTCAGATAAATATTACTGAAATTAAAACAGTTAACTTTTCAGTTGCAGAGGAAAATCCACACGTGATAATTTGTTCTAAAAACATTTATTCAATTAATAGATATTATTAACAATTACTATTACGACGAAAGTAAGGAGATTACTGCCATTAATACTGCGGGATTATTGTTTACGATGGAATGTTCTACAACACTTTTTATCAGCAACGCAGACGGTCTGTAGAATAGATAAGAAAACAGGAGAAACTGTGTTGAATTTAATTTGACAGATAAACATAACACATCGAGTTTTTCTATTCACAAAACAATTTTAAGTAGTATGAATTGCAAACACACAAAAGGGTTACGTGAAGATGAGGTAATACATATTGGAGGGTATTCAAGAAGATGATCTCTACCATTCTAGTTGCAACGGCATGAGTTATTTATTTTCCCATTGACTTGTAGGTGACCATTTAGTAAACGATGAGCGATTCGCCCCGTTTGAGACTCATCAACGGGATATACCTCCATTCAAGTGAGTAATTGGTATATAGTGTGATGCTAATAAGAATCTGTTTCCAGTATACTGTTAAGGTCATCCACACGATGCTTGGGTAGTGGGAGAACGGACTAAGTAGGAAAGAGAAGTAATGGGGGAAATCATGAAGTGACATGGAAAGCATGAACCGAAAGGAAAATATGAATACTGTTAGCAAATTAGTCCAAGATCGATGTACTACTTACAAAGTGTTTACAACACAAGTATTTTTTTTTGTATTTTTTGATCACAGCTTGATTCCACACCGTAATTTTGGTACAGGTAGATGTTATTTCATTCACTTATCCAGGGAAGGAGCATTATCTCAACTACAGGCAGTCGGAACAGACGAGGATGTCAAATCGAGCGAGAATCGGGAAGGCGAAAAACACATTCATCAACCTGAAACCAATCTGGAAATCTTCGTCACTCAGACAGCATCAACAACAAAATTCGGTCGGATTTTCAATACAAACGTCAAGTCAGTCAGTTCTCCTATACGGATCAGAAACTTGGCGGGTGGGTCACAAAGAATATTTGCAACAGCCTGTTGCAGACCTTTATCAACAACTGTCTTTGCTGGATCTATACTGAAGATCAGATGGTCGGCTGGGCCGGAAAGAATCACCAGCAAGGAACTATGAGAACAAACAAAAGCAAGAACCAATCGCCAGCCAAGAAATATGCAGGAGAATATGGAGATGGATTGAACACCCACTGAGGAGGCCGCTGGGTGACGTCCTTGGAAGGGTGACATGGAGGAGATCGTATGAAGAGGAATTGAAAGAGTTTGGACTAACATGGATGCAGGTGAAAAGTACAGCAGAAGGAAAACAGAAGTGGCAAGTGGAGACGTGCAGTTGAAGCCCTATGTTCCACTAGGAACCCAAGGGAGCAATGATAATAATAATATGGAATTTTCAGCATGTGATATCGGTAGCCCAAATTTTGCAAGCCAACCATAGATATCAGATGTGCGTCGGCAGGGGATGGAACCCCGGACCATGTGCATGGTTGGCGAGAGTCCTGACCACTGTGCAACCAACGCACAACACGCTACAGTGCTATTCACCATTGAGAGCTGAACGAAATACCAACCGTTTCTAATATCAAAGCTTTATCCACTGAGATCTTGGGCAACGCATCGCGCGGTGGCTGGCATCATTTCGATCATGATTTCGTAACTGAAGTTGAGTCCTGTTGCCTGTTTGTGTGTAATTACTAGTTCTTTCTTAGTATATACAAGATTGAAATGATTTCGAATATTGGGACAAGAAAGAAAAAGGCAAAATCGAGAGGAGAAGATTATCAGAAACTGTGTGCATATGTTGATGGATAACTCGCCAAATGACAGGAATTAGACTTCTCAAAATACTCGATTACAACCTACTGGCTGAATAGTCAGTGGAGTTGCATAGTAATCTGAAGGTCCTATGCTGCTTAATCCTTGTTGGGGTCGTGAGTGGTCACTGAAAAATAGTCTGAGACCAGCATGAACCAACTGTTTGGCTTTCATTGGTTCTGAGACTAACTTCATTTCGTTAAAATGTCTACATCGAAATTTAGTGTTTGCCAAAATCATTAAAAACCCAGATATGTTTAGCATCGCTGCAAAGTGTTTTCACTGTTAATTGAAGCATATGAAGCTGTCTTGTCTTTGACCTGTCATTTCTCTCTCTCTCTCTCTCTCTCTCTCTCCTTATCACCAATATAGATACATTAGTTGTTAATGCTGCGAATATCGATAAAGGTTGTTGTTGTTGGTTAATGTAAACGAGTTCGCCTAGCTTGCAAGCAGCTAGGTTGCTTTACTCCACAGTAAGAGTAATATAACGATGAAGTTGTTAAAGACGATGTCTTCGTGACAAAAGTATGTCCTATACATCAATATCTAATAAAAACAAAAAGCAATGAAGCCAAAAGATAAACATTGTCGGTCTACTCACCATTACGAGCTTATTCCCGTCTACCTTGTGATCAATTTCAATGATTCCCTCCGGATGTCTTTGAGTATTAACAATTTCATTATTGGATATTTTTCTATACATACTCTTGAAGAATTGTGAGGAAAACAAGAGAAAATGGATGGGTGATTTGCAGGGAACAAATGAATATATATATGGATCTATAAATATATAATAGTCACTGATATGAGCAGGTGGAAAACATTTGGCTACCATTTATGGTACCAAGCATAACAAATCAGTAAAATATGCAATAAAACAACAGAATTGCCTTTATTAAACTGAGTTGTATTGAATCTGCGCAACGAACAGAAAGAGATTCGAGAATAAAAATATTGTCAAGTTTGACTCTATATAACAATAATTCCCTTAATTAACCAGAATTGTTTCAGTTACAAGCGGTAAGAATATGGGTGTCAAAAGCAGGTACAGAAGCGGCCAGGACAGAATACTAAAAGACGAGCAGACCTTCAATTCGTCTCCACATTCAGAAGAGAGAACAAATTCGAGAAACTGACATTAATGAAAATCAATTTAATGTTTCTAAGTGGTTCTAACAGTTCTCAAGTGAGTCATCAAAAGCACGTCTAACAGCCTGCTGCAGGTTTCCATCCACATATGACTTCGCTAGAAGCTGAAGATGAGAGGGTGGGTGAGAGAGGATAAGCAACTGGGGACTTCGTTAAAGATGAAACTAAGATATATCAAGAAGGAAACCGAGATGGAGTGGAAATGTACTTATGGCACTATCACATGGCATCACATGCCAGACACTTGACTGGAATCCTAATTAATGGGAGGTGACGGATTAGACATACGAAGAAAAAGTGAAAAGAAGGTGAAAGCATGTAGACATATGTGCAGCTAGATAAAAAAGCTAACAGTAAATCGATAGGAAGCGATTTACGCCTCTAGACCGGATATTTAACATGGAGTGCAAGGAAAGGATCTTAATAAAAATGGGTAATAATAATAATAATAATGATTTACTTTATTCCAAAAACAGTACTTGTGATACAGAATGGAATTTTCAGCATTAATCACAATATTGCATCTAATTTCCGCAAATTATAAATTAAATTAATCACACAGAGAATTTTCCACACTTACAATAGAGGTAGTGTCAAAAACATGCAGCATATAAAATGGAAATAGCAATAATAATGATAACAGCTAGGGTAATAATAATAAGAATACAAGTGAAAATTGCCGTTGGCTTGTGCCACACAGTATTGTCAGTATCAGTTCAACCAAGCAGACATCTAGAATTCAGCTGATTTGAATTAATTCACTTATCTGAATTAAGTCAATCTTGTTATAGCCTGTGTTAAGATTGTGTTTGAATAGTTCTGTATTATTCATACCAATTAGCAGTGTGTCGTAGGATGATAATTTTTATTGTGTTGAAGAAATAATAACTGTCATGATCTCCAGCTCGTCAGGTTTTATTTCCAACTGAAACTATAATCTAGTATCGAGGAGTAGGGTGGTGTACACCATGAATTCTACATCATGAGCATTATTCAATACAACCAATCAATATACATATATAATGGGAAGCAATGTCAAAGAATTCTTAGAAGACAAGGAAGAAACTGATTTTCCAATGCAGATAAAAGAGTTGACTCCAATCAATCAATGTTTTACAAGTTGGGTATGGAGTGACTGTGGGGAAGGCGTTCATACCTAATTCTACTTTGAAAATTTCACAATAGTAAACAGGTGTTATATTCGATTGAAAGTACATTTTCAAAGAAAAAGCAACAAACAAAGAAACTGAATTGAAATCTCAAAAGCCCTGACTCACTTTACACACTCTACCAAGGACTGTTTTCTCATCAATTTCTTCACCAAATTTAAAGGAGACTTCAGCATTTCTGATTTCTGAATCAACTCTAATTTTCATTCCATCATCTCCTAATGGTGTATATGTATATGTTGGATTAGCTGTGAGTAACAATTTTCTCATTTCACAATCAACACCGAAATGATCGACAATGGATTCCAAACCATGCACTTCATCTGATTCCCATGTTCCAGTTAATCCAGACATGTTGATCAATCTTGGAATATGTAGGAGTTTGTTACAGACCCTTCAACTTCTTACATATATATATATATATATATATATATATATATATATATATATATATATATATATATATATTATATGTGTATGATTTTAGGGTGCATAAATTAATTATGATATAAATATGCAGTTGACGTTTGCACCTAATTTCATACAAGTTAGATGTCATTGTATTCATGTGCGTACTCTACTTTGTTTATCAGTTGTAGATTTGTTTATCTGTTTGAAAGCCTAAAATGTTTGTCACTCATAATGTCATACTACTTGTGTGATGACAGTTGGATGTTATCCGAAATTGGTGAACATTAGTTTACATCAATGTTTATGTTCCCAATATTGGTGGTGAGAAAAATGACAATGATTGCGAATCAACTATCTGGCTCAGAGAACACAACCACATCAAAATGACAACAAAGGCTTTTCGTAGGAGGATACAATTAATATATCGATGAACTGACATTCAAGAAACAGCCACAAAGAGATGCAAAGTTTACTTTCTGTGAGAAAGAACTGACCAGTCTGAAGACTGGTCAAGAGCATATCGAGGGATTGGCCATGATGTCATGATGTCACCAACAGCAGCCAAAGCTCTCATGCAGTGGGAACCAATCTCCTCCAGGATAATGACAGCCAGGTTCAACTCAAAAGGAAAGAAAGTTACAGTCATTCAATGCTATGCGCCTACAAACGTCTTAGAATAAGAAAAGAAGGAGGCGTTCTACAGACAAGAAAGAACAGTAACGGACAACGCCCCAAATGGCGATATCAAAATCCTGATGGGCGATATGAATGCGAAGCTGGGAGGAGACAACACAGGAAGAGAACTCAACATGGGTCGAGAGGCCCTCGACGAAATGGACGACAATGATGAACCCTTCTTAGACGTCTGCGCCTTCAATGATTTGGTGGTTGGCGGTAGTGTGTTCAAACACAAGGATATAGACAAGACGACATGGATTTTACAAGATGGAAACACCAAAAACCAAGTAGACTTCATCTCAATTTCAAGAAAGTGGAGACGGAGCCTACTGGACACAAGGTCGAGGAGAGGAGCAGATGTGGGTTCAGGCCACTATCTAGTACAAAGGACTTTCAAGGTGAAACTAAAAGCCTCGAGGATAGCTGGGGATAGGCCACAATGCAAGTTCAACACTCAATTACTGAAAGACACAACCACAAAGGACACTTACACTGCAACTGTCATAGCAAAGCAGGAAACACTATGCAACAGCACTGAAGAATCATGCGTGGGAAATCATTGGAAGTCTCTGAAGGCGATTCTCAACGAAACTTGTTCAACGGTTCTAGGAAGAAAGAGGAGACAAGACAAGGAATGGCTGTCAACGGACACTTGGAAATTAATAGAAGAGCGGAGAATGGTGAAAGAGAAAATGATTCAATGCAGAGACGGACAGGAGAAAGAGACGCTGAACTCAACTTACAAAGCACTGGACGAAGAAGTGAAGAAGAGTGCTAGGAAAGACAAAAGACGATTTTACGACAACCTCGCCAATGAAGCTGAGAAGGCAGCAAGCAAAAGGGACCTGAGGACACTATATCAGATAACCAAGTCTCTATCCGGGAAGAGATTAACACAAGCGAAACCTATAAAGGACAGCCAAGGGAACCCAGTTACCAAGGAAGAAAAACAGATTAAACAGTGGGCAAATAACTTCAAAGGACTCTTGAACCGACTACCACCTGACACCCGTCCAGAAATACCAACAACAGAACGTACACAACTGCAAGTTGACACCAATCCTCCAACGAGAGCTGAAGTCTTGAATGCAATCAAGCTTCTGAAAGCTGGAAAAGCAGCTGGACCAGATGGAATGCCCCCTGAAGCACTGAAAGTAGATCCAGAGACTACAGCAGACATGCTGACTCCATTATTGCAAAAGGTCTGGAGGGAGGAACAGGTGCCTACTGACTGGAGGACGGGTTAATTCGTGAAACTACCAAAGAAGGGAGACTTACTCCTCACTCTTCAAGAACTGGCGAGGAATCATGCTTTTGTCGACGCCAAGTGAAATCCGTTGTCGCGTCATCGTGGAGAGAATAAAGGACGCACTGGAGACAGAACTCCGACCAGAACAAGCTGGATTCAGGAAAGGCAAATCGTGTGCTGACCAAATTGCAACTCTACGCATCATCACCACAGAACTAAGCATGGAATGGCAATCAAACCTCTACCTCAACTTTGTAGACTTTGAGAAGGCCTTCGACAGCGTTGACCGTGAAGTAATTTGGAAATTACTGGAGTACTACGGAGTACAGTGCCCCAAATATTCATCAACCTTATTCAACAGCTGTACGACAACGGCACATGTCAAGTCATCCACAACGGAAAACTCAGCGAGGCGTTTGAAGTAAACACAGGAGTCAGACAAGGGTGCTTACTATCACCAATGATATTCCTAATTGTTGTGGACTGACTGGATTATGCGTCAGACAGTGAGTGGGAAACGAGAAGACAGGCATATCCTGGACCGACCGACGTGAAGAACCTAGAAGACCTAGATTTCGCGCGTGGATGATTTGTGTTTGATGTCACACAAAATCGAAGACTAACAAGCGAAAACCGACAAACTAGTCGAAGAAGCAGCCAGCGAAGACAGGACTCCATGTGAACATAGACAAGACGGAGGTTATGAAAATAACCAACCAACAACAAGAACAACAGCAGCAACACCCACCGCCAATCACCATAAACGGGAGGGATTTGAAAGAGGTCAGTTCATTCACTCACTTATCTAGGGAGCATTGTCTCAACTGCAGGAACGGAGGAACGGACGAGGATGTCAAATCGAGCGAGAATCGGGAAGCCAAAAAACACATTCATCAACCTGACTAAAACCAATCTGGAAATCTTCGTCACTCAGACAGCATCAACAACAAAATTCGGTCGGATTTTCAATACAAACGTCAAGTCAGTCAGTTCTCCTATACGGATCAGAAACTTGGCGGGTGGGTCACAAAGAATATTTGCAACAGCCTGTTGCAGACCTTTATCAACAACTGTCTTTGCTGGATCTATACTGAAGATCAGATGGTCGGCTGGGCCGGAAAGAATCACCAGCAAGGAACTATGAGAACAAACAAAAGCAAGAACCAATCGCCAGCCAAGAAATATGCAGGAGAATGTGGAGATGGATTGAACACCCACTGAGGAGGCCGCTAGGTGATATCGTGCGCGCGTCAGGCCATTGCTCGAGTGGAACCCGAAAGGGAATCGGCGAGTGTGACGTCCGTGCAAGGGTGACATGGAGGAGATCGAGTGAAGAGGATTTGAAAGAGTATGGACTAATATAGAGGGATGCAGGTGAAAAGTAGAGCAGAAGACAGAAGTGGCAAGTGGAGACGTGCAGTTGAAGCCCTATGTTCCACTAGGAACACACGGGAGCATAAGAAATATATATATATATATATATTTGATATTAGTGTGCATAAATTAACTCAACGGAGCAGTAATAATAATAAGAAACTGAATTGAAATCTCAAAAGGCCTGACTCACTTTACACACTCTACCAAGGACTGTTTTCTCATCAATTTCTTCACCAAATTTAAAGGAGACTTCAGCATTTCTGATTTCTGAATCAACTCTAATTTTCATTCCATCATCTCCTAATGGTGTATATGTATATGTTGGATTAGCTGTGAGTAACAATTTTCTCATTTCACAATCAACACTGAAGTGATCGACAATAGATTCGAAACCGCGGACTTCATCTGAATCCCATGTTCCAGTTAATCCAGACATGTTGATCAATCTTGGAATATGTAGGAGTTTGTTACAGACCCTTCAACTTCTTACATATATATATGTATGATTTTAGGGTGCATAAATTAATTATCATATAAGTATGCAGTTGACGTTTGCACTTAATTTCTTACAAGTTAGACGTCATTTTATTCAAATGTGCACTCTAATTTGATGGTTATTTTAGATTTTTTGATGTTTTTATACGCTGCAAATTTTAGTGATTCATGATGTTATACTATTAGTGGTTGACTGATGTGAGTACTAGTGACCATTCACTTGAAGTCTTTGTGGTCACTAGACAAATGGATTCTGCTATCTGAGCCGGGTCAAATTGAGTATACGGATGATTAGGTCGACTTTAGATGAGCCAAACAGCTGTTTGGTATTCAGATCACTTCGATCCGGCTAGTGAGCATCACTGGTTGGCGTGAGTGATATCCACCTACCTAAATCAGTCAATCGATTTGTAGAAAAGGGGAAACAAGTGGATCATTGGATTAGGCATTATGTTTTTCAGCCAATGGATGCTGTGCTTGAATTCTGTTACATCTACTCTATCATGTTGAATTAGCGGGTATGATCATTATACGTGATAAAATGAGTTTCGGTCATACTCCGTTTTGGTAGAACTGACCTGTAGTCAACCAATTATATAGCATTATATATTGAAGCCTCATGTCTTGACTGACAATATCTAGGTCAGATATATTGCGATTCACAGACGTCTGTAGACAAATTGCAAATTGTCAGTTTGATTCAATGTTATCAATGAATGAGTAGTCCCCTGTCTATTATCCAAAAAAATATTGAAAAAGCACTTGTCGACACTGTCTGAATAAAAACGAAAATAAATAAGTGACCACTGTTCAAAAGTTAATGGAGTATGTATAAGGAAATTTTCAGCCGTTATCCTATTATGCATGATTATATGAACTGAGGATGAGAATCTGTGATCTGGTTGGAGCATTTCATCATGAGCTGACGTCAGTTAGAGAACAGCAGTGGAAAACCTGAGAATACTGGACTGTCAGCTGTTTCGTCCTAGTTTTCGATACTTCATCAGTACTCACTCACCGTGGTTGGAAATGGAGTGAAATAGGATTTATCTGTCATGGATAATGATAGATTACATTCAATGCAATTGTAGTTATTAAACAAACTACTTCTGTGTGCATGGTTCAGGACTTAGGATGTGAATCTCCATTGTTTCTCAATTTTGAATATGTTTGTTTGGTACACTTTTAGGAAGA